TCTCTCTCTCCCTCCTTCCTTCCCTTCCTCCCTACCAACCTCCCTCCCTCCCTCCCTCTCTGGAGCTCCTGCTCTCTCCCTCTCCCTCCTCTCCCTCCCTCTCTCCCTCCCTCCCTCCCTCCCGCTCTCCCTCTCCTCTCGAGCTACCGAGGGCTCCGACAGCAGTTCCCAGCCTGTGCTCCGCCTGCCTGGCTGCCTCCGTGTGTGCGAGCGAGCGAGCGTGTGTGCGTGCGCCTACTTTGTACTGCGAAGCACACAGCCCATGTGCTCTGCAAACGTTACTGATACTCTGTTTAGCTTGATTCCCGACAAGCAGGCAAGATGTCCAGCACACCGCATGACCCCTTCTATTCATCTCCTTTCGGCCCATTTTATAGGAGACACACACCGTATGTGGTACAGCCAGAGTACCGCATCTATGAGATGAACAAGAGACTGCAGTCTCGCTCCGAGGTGAGTACTTCAACCCGGCTGTGTGTTTGTGTAATTTTTTTTTTTTTTTTTTTGCAAACTGTGCACGGGCTTTTCCTGGGGTTTCTGGCAGAATGCTACATATGGGAAGTGTCCCACTAGATACCACCCCGAACGTGGGGACGAGTGCCAGCACAGACCCACTAGTTTGGATGGGGGATGTCGAGGGACAGCAACTCCTGGAGCAGGGGACAGTTTCTGTTGGAATCTCCAAAGAGACAACCCAGCGCTTGCTCCCAGAAATGTTCCTCTCCCAGAACTCGGAGTCGCTCCTGTTGGTGTTTCTTGAGATGTAATGGCAAGGGTGATCATTTGCATCCAGCCCTTTTATTTATTTTTATTTGTTTTCTAATCCCCGGGGAAGCCTGCTCTGACCTGCATTTGCTTTTCAGGGTCACCAGCATTGAGGTAAAGGGGGCAGAAGAGTCACCCTGCCCACTTTTCAGAACTAGCCCTGGAGAGCCACATGGGTGTGTGTATTTCTGTGTTGCTTTCAGAAACCAGTTGCTTGGGGCAGGGGGAGTCTTGACTTTCTCCTGGCGCTGCCTGGACCTTCGGACACCAGCAGGCTGAATGTGAAAGTCAGTTTAAGTTTTTGCCTATTTGGGATCTTGTGCCTGAAAGAGGGAGACTCAGCCTCCCAGGGAGGCAATGAGTAACTCTGGGAGCAGAGAGAACAGGACTTTCAGAACTTTTCTCAATGCAGAACTCCAGACCCCTCTCCTGCAATTTAAACACTTGGTGTCAGTGGACCTTTTCTCTGTGCAGGCTCAGCTGACAGGTCTTGGTGCTGCTGGGTCACCCATCTACCTGTAAGTTGGGGCGTTGTGCTGAAGTGTTCTGAAAAGGAGTTTGTTAGAGGTGCACCAAAGTCACTTTAGGAAGTAGAAATTGCTAGGAATTTGGTCTGCTCTGCAGAGGAGAAAAAAAAAATACTCAGAGGATTTATGCCAAAGTGCTTTTAGGGAATAGGTTTGGTGGAATGTTAGATTGAAGATTGACTCTTAACTCTGGAAAGAGACTCAGTTTAGTTTTGCAGTATAAAATAAAACACAATTTGCTTGAATTATCAACGGAGCCATAGAGAATTCATAACATTTAATGTAATTAATGCAGCTAACAAGATGTGACCTGCTTTCTGATTGGCTAATTGCTGAACAAGGACTTAGGTTTTTTTAAAAGCTGGGCTGTCTTTATCACTGCTATTTCTTTACATGCCAGTATACCATAGATATTAAATATAATTGCTGGTACTGCTGCTCTTTCCAGAAGTGACTGGCTTCTAGAGTCCTGCAAACTCTGTTGGTAGTTGGTAGTGACTGATACTTGTGGGTGTTGTTTTGTGCCTGTGTGTTGTGGTTTGTGTATTTCCTTCAGATCTTTGTAACTGTGTGTTGGAATCTTACATTCCCGCGTGAACTGTTGGTTGATATAGCTTGTTTTAAGAATGAGGACAGAAAATGTCTTATCACTCAGGTACATAGTAATTGCAATGCAAATTTAAAAAAAAAAGTCTCTTTAAAGTCTGTTTAATTTTTAAAAGGGGAGCAGGGACCATTATGGTTCCATTCTGGAAAAGCAACAGGATTGAAAAATAACTTGTGTCCACCTCACATGTTAGAAAGTTTTTGAGGAGTTGCAGGAAGAGATTATTTGCCCATCCCCTGGCAGATTTCTCTGCTATCTGTGTGCCCTTGTGGCCTGGAACACCGGCCAGTCCTGAGCTAGGAGACTTCTCACAAGATTCCCCTATCCTGGCCCTCATAAAAATCCATGCCATGCTACACAATCCCATATTTGTTTCCCATTTGAGACAAGGCATTGAAAAGAACGCCATCAGTAGTGTGCTTTTCAAAAATGGCATGTTATTTTTTGTCAGAGCTAAACTCAGGAACTCCTAACTTTTGGATCGTGGGGGATTGCTTTTAAAGATTGAGCTCTGAGCAGAGGAAAAACTCTACTTCACAGCTTAAGAACTGGAAGAGGAAAGCTTGGCTATGTCAAATCTTAAAGATTTTTTTTAAACCTCTCTGCCTATGGCAGTAAAGAGCTAGGAACTATTTTCTGGTGTGTTCTATTGCCAACCTCTGTACACGCCCCCCACCCCCTTAATTGATCATTTTTATAATTATCCAGATAATTGCTCTGACACTTCTTTTCCTTGCCAACCAATAAATAGTGTCGCGAACCCAATGCCGTGCGTTTGTTTTCATTTCATGTAAAGAAAAGAAAAAACAAACAAACAATTGTTCCTAAGATATTTAAATATTAACAGCAAGTATTAAATTTTGATCACGATGTGTCCTTTGGAAAAAAAAAATAACTTTTCATGAAAAGTTACGCTCTGCCTTTAATCAATGATTGTTATCTGTGATAATGCGGTTCTCAGTCCTGGAAACAAATTGGTTAGAATAAAATGCAATGATATCCAGCAAGAGTTAGGAGTTTCTTCGTAGTCACACAATATCAGAGAGGTTGTTGAGTGATCACTTTAAGAATTTAACCAATGCATACAGCCATTTGGGGCTCCAGTGACTCAACTCTTTCTTTTTGTTCCCTCCTCCTCTCTCTCACTCTCTCTCTCTTCTGGTTCCCACTCCTATAGTATGTAGTATCATTTCATTAATTCTAAATACACACACACACACACACACACACACACCCTTGGGCAATACTTTCAAGACTCTGTTCCTTTTGGAACATACACTTGGCTAGATTGAAATGTTAGCAAATCAGTTTGCGATGAAGAAATTATAATCAAGTTTGCAGAGATTTCCTAGAAACCTCTTTTTTTTTTTTTTTTAATGGATAGAAATTAGTAAAGAACTATGTCTTCCTACTCTTCTTCCGTGGCTGACCCCAGGCTGTTCTCTTTGTGGGGACTGATGTATTTTCTTACAATTAAATAAAATCAAAGTCCTTCTGAAGCTGGATGGTTTTAGTTGACAGAGCCTTGGATTGGGAGTGACTCCTATTTTTAACTCTTACTAACTAGTTGGCATGGATCTTGGTTCCCTATCTGCAAATTACGGGCAATTCCCCTTTAATCTGAAAATTCAGGTTGGTTTTCTTTAGTAAGAGAAAGTCTTATGAAATAGAGTTAAGAGTGCAGACATTACTTCCTTGCTCATGGTATTTCACTCAAAATCACAAATGGAACTGAAATAATCTTTTGATAGTGAAGACGACTTAGAGGTTCAGACCCTTGACAATCAGTCTAGTTGAAAGCTGGTTCTTAGAGCCACTAAGAACAGTGGACAGTGTAGCTACTCAGTAAACATGTGTTGACTAGCCAATCAATGAATCAGAAGATAAAAGAGGAAAGTTTGAGAACTAAGGTACCCTCCCTGAGAAACACAATTTTGATGCTTTTGGGGGCCCACTGCCCCCTGTTGAGCTCAATCTGCTTTAGGGCTCTGCTTCCCACTCCCAGTGTGCGCCCCACATCCTCCACATTTCTTTTCTCATGGGGTCATCCAGAACCCTAAGGTTCCAGGCAAAGGAAAGCAAGTGTCTAAGACATTACAGGACTTCACCTCTTTTAAAAGGAGTAGGAATGCATTCAAAAGCAAACAACAACAAAAATAATGTGTTTTAAATGGTGCTGCCTGTTCTGGGAAATAGAATCTCTTTGCAACATTAGAATCTCAATGGAATTTCATAAAGAAATATGTGGGTCTCCCCGCCCCCCATTTTAAAATGAAATCAAGAAGAACTAACTCTTTGAGCTTTGGGACACTGTCAGTTACTGCCATTCTCCAGCAGTGGAAGGGGCTTACCTTTTCTGCTATCTACACTATCATGAATTGACCCCATATCTTCCAAAATTCATGCACTTAAGTGGTCTTTCTGTGCCAAACCTATTTTGGAAGAATACAACTGCACAATTATATAATTTAACATTATATTCTACGTATAGTCAGATAGGATGTAACGATAAGCCTCTGAATTTGTTCTGTGAAAAGCTTCAATAAAAACAAAAACACTATTTTTTTTCATTTACTGACAATGTACTATGAGATGAAAACATAGGTGAAATACACAGGAAACGTCATAGTGAACAAACATCATTTTAAGTGGACGGATTTAACTAATGTGGGATTATCCTAGAATTTAGTAAAGTCGCAAAAATCTTTGTTAGAGTAGCTAACTTTTCTATACCTTGTTTGCTGGTTCAAAGGGCCTAAAATGTCTCCCTTCAAATGAAGATGTTTTTAAGGATGTATATGCTTTTTCCTGTTGGCCTCGTGCTAATTAAAAAAAAAAAAGCCAGAAAGACCAGAAAAATGTGAGTTCCATTATGCAGTTCTTCTGTTTTAATATTTATTTTCTTTTATCAGTATTGCACATCCCTTCCAAAAGGGAAAAAACAGAAAACAAAACTGTTGTTATAATCAGAAGCCTCACACACCAGGATTTTAGTTAGAATTCCCATTTTTCGTTTTACAGGATTTAAGACGAATGTTAAACATGAAGACCTTGAAATTTAAATCGGCTGGTTTTCACCCCTCCTCAGCTCAAATCTAAAACTCCCTGGGGAGGGAGAGGGGAGGAGGGGGGACCTTCGTCCTCTTTTCTTTCAACTACATTTTTATATACTTTAGTCACAGGGCTTCACGTTGTAACATCATGTTTATTCATGGAATAGCTTAGTATCATTGATGTTCAGATGGAATCTAGTTAAAATGAGATTAGTTATTTTGGATAGGTGGAAAAAAGGAAAAGGCTTGGTGATAACTTGGAGGGTTTTGTTCCCCCCCTTAGAAATGTACAAAGAAAAATGTTGCTGTTGCTCGGAGGGAAATGAATGATTTTCGGGGTTAAAAACCGAACTTTGCAAGTTTTTTGCAGGAGGTTGGTGAGGTGGGGGGAGGGGGTGGGTGGCGGTAAGGAAAGCTATTTTGAAAATGTTAAATGAAACCAAAAGTACAGTTTTAAAAATGAGAACTTCCAAACTCTCTTATTTTTCGGGCTTTCTACAT